ACTGGTACGAGCACGACGCCCCGACACTTCGGCCGCAGGTGTGGGAGGGGCTTAAGACCGAGCTCGCCACGCCGTGGATGCAGGCCGTGCGCTACGGCAAACCCCACCCGGAGCGGTACCGGCTAAAGGAGGGGAGAAAGGAGGCCTCGTTGGGGGAGGGCGCACCCACGCCTTCGTGGGGATACGGCGTTCACGTTCTGGAGGAGGCGGACTGCCAGCCCAGTGGGATCCCAGTTGCCTCGGCGCATCCTTTGTATACCGCTGCTTTATTTCATATCGAGGGTGATGCGGATGACAAGAATACTCTTTGTAATAGCGGCAATGATAGAAATGTGCCAAGTCGCATCGATGAACACGTAGTGTTGAGTGAGCAGCGTCGAGAGATGGCTCGTGATGAACTTCTCTTCTGGGAGAGGGTAGAGTTTATTCGCTGCAGCCAGTTGGCCAGCATCCCTGGCGGCGTGAAGCGCAGCTATACGGATCAAGATTCCACTGTGTTTGATGATGTGAAGGACAAGATTGAACTTCGATTCACGCAATAAACAAGAAAGGATAAGAATGATTCGGGTAAAAGGGAAAATATACATTTGGACGAAATGCGTTCATTTGGATACCTTATCGTTCGTGTGTGCTGTCGAGATTGTGCACATGTACAGCAATAATGTTTTTTTTTCGCCTTTACCAGGAGCACGCATACCTGTATTTTTATAAATTCAAATATGGGTTTTACTTACCCATATTTTGAAAAATGAGCACGCTATACTCTTCAATCTCCTCTGAAAAACAACCGACAACAACCAGAAGCTGTAAATCACATTAAGGTAGTTATTTATATAATAACAATAAACCAATACAAAACATTTAACGTTTAAAAAAAAAATCACCAATGTTACGTCGTTCCTTTAGTCAGCTCTTTCCCATCACAGGGACCTGTGTGCCCTCAAACTTGCATTCTTCGACCGATATCGCATTTTTCTTCCCTCGTTTTCAGCCCGCTACACACGTGAGCGCGATGGGGATTCCAGAAATTCAAGACGCCCTACACGCGCTCCATCCCGATCAGGCCTCTTTATCCGTTTCCGTTCCAAGACTAACGATCCCAGAAGGGCAGATGGAGATTTGTACGCGATGGACAACGGCAGCTGTGCGTCCAGGGATGCTAAACGATACACCGCAGCAGCTCGCCCAGCGCCTTCGTGACCGTGAGAAAGGTTTAATTCTCTTGGAGCGTGGGATCGATATTTTAGAGAATCTCGGCGGCCTCAAAACGCCCGTGGGCTCGATTGCGCAAACTCTTCGCGCCCTCTATGCCGTTCGTTTTGAGCTGCTCAATGGTACCGAGCACCTCCCGCGGCCGGAGTATGCGAAGCATCTGCACGTGCAAAAGATGATTCTTCGCCAGTCAGCGCGTCTGCTGTACTACAACGAAAATTGGGATCGCAGCGATCTTCACCAGCTAGATACGGCGTGCGTGATTTTAGCACACTTTATCAAGGCATTTTGCGCGCTTCATCAGAAACCGTTTCATAAGTCACCGCAGCCCGTTTCGTCTTCGAACATTATAGGGAAAAAGGCGGCATCGTCAGAAAAGAACCCCGACGCGGTAGCGCCAAAGCGGAGTAAACCAAGCGTACGAGACTGGCAGCTATGTGTAAACGATCCTGAACATCCAGAGGCAGTATTGACGTTACCAATGGTGATGAAATACTTGGATGAATGCATAATTCTTTCCAAGGAAACGTACAAAAAACACGGAGACGCGACTCCAAATTTACGTTGGCTTCCGCCAAAGCTTTACGTTCTCAAGGCCTTGCTAAACATTCCTTTGACTGGAAACCTTTTTTTCTCCTCGCAGTATGTTGACAAAGCCTTACAGATTGTGGATGAGATGACGAGTCGTCCAACTCCATTACTTAATGCCCTGAATGATTGTCAGCAGGAGCCTGAAACAGGACTCTTTATGTTAATAAAAGCAGAGCTTAATGAGCGAATCTTTGACTGGGACCTTTCCCCTGGGGAGGTCGATACCGTCATTCTGCAGGAATTCACGCAGGCGTCAAATTTTTTTTCCACGCCATTCGAATCCAGCATCAACGCCGATGGGATCCTCTCCGCCGCGCATGTCCATGAACGGTGGTATGAAACTCAGGCCTACGCGACCTCCCTTGGAAGTTATGCTACTTTCTTATTGAATGCGCCTCGCCCATTGACGACGAGCTCGCGCGATGCTGCCGTCTTCCTGCCCAAACAAACTTTTGATATAAACCCGCTGCGAGTGGTAGAGTCATCATCAGATGTTATTTACTCGGATGTCAAAGATCCGATTAAGTTCTCGATTGAAAAGTGTCGGCGCCTGACTGGTGAGGCCTTTGATCGTGCGCTGAAAGTGAATCGAATGGTCTTTTCTGAGTACAAAAACAACGCTCAGGCAGGCTGGATTTTACTTGGAATGGCCTGCATGTACGCGGACATGCGAGATTACCTTTACGCCACGGGGCTTTTTGAGTCTGCGGGGAAGTGCATCGAGCAGAACTACGGGGCGACGTCAATGGAGATGGGATTAATGCAAAAACTACGGTATGAATTTCTCGCCGGGGTGGGGTCGGAGGAGGAAGCAAAAGGGGCTTCGCACAGTGTGATCCGCCTCCTAAAAGGGCTGGATTCACTTCCTTGTTAACACAATGAATGAGAGGGGAAAGGGGGGAGGGGAACAGTCACCTTCTAAATTCTATAGCCGGGTACTTAATTATTTATCAATACATCAAACAATAAGTACGACTTTTTGACAGAAATCGTACATTATTTATATTGAGGTATGAAAAATATATATGAGAAATTGTAGGCTCCAATTGTTTTACTTTTACGAAAGGAAACACGACAGTGATTTCCCTTTGGGGGGAGGGGAGGGGGGGGAGCTTTATTATGCCCTTCTTTTAGGTTCCTGATTTGACTTTTGGTGGTCTCCTCTAGGTTGACATACTCCACCCCCACCCCCTTTTTCTCACCTCCATGCACATTCCAGGCGCACCCTTCATTTTACATTAACGGATATGTAAAATCATCCATAGAATGAGTCTGACGAGCTAATCTACCGAAACCCCACTTCGAATTTCAGCGTCTCCACAATAATCCTCTTATATGTGGAAGCCTAGTCTCTGTGGGGATTGTGTTAGGATAGCTTCAAGGATCGTAACCCCATTGAAGATTAGAGAAGGTGCCACAGTAGCGAAAATAAATCGGAGTATTCGTTTATAGGAATTTAACCCTCTTCCCTATCCTTCCTTTTCTTTGTGTTTGTCATCACCCTACATGCGTATTTAGCGGTGTTCACTGAAACCAACCATAGATTTATGGCATTTCGGACTTGCGCATGAATATCATAGGACCTTCTGCTCCTTTTTTCACGCCCTGCCAGCGATGGGTTTATCTTTCTGGATCACAAGCTCTTTCTGCAAAATTGCGATACACCTGTCGCTGGTTGGTATTGTCGTGGTAATTAAGTCTTGCTAATACGTATAATAGTAAAATGTTTTACCAGCATGGCGGGCCCGTGTTCACCAGTGGATTAAATCACCTTAATCAGTCAGTTTAGCCTCCTTTAAAAATACACGCACCTACGCATGAAGGAGAGAGTTCCATATCGGCTACAAAAGATTTTTTTGAAGAAAAAGTGTATTCTTCAAATGAAAGCAATCCACATCTTTTCTTCTAAGCTGAACTCATTTATCCATTATCCGACCTGAGTAAATTTTTACTAACCTCTAATCGCCATATAGCAGTGAACTATTTCAGTAGGCGTAATGCATTGTTAACGCAACACTTTCACTTAAGATGGTAGGAAAACTGAGAGCCAAGGTTGTGTACAGATGACTATTATTAGCAATGAAAAGTATATATATATATACGTAATATTGTGCTACCACTGTTATTCTTACAACTCTTGTAGAATATTGACCAACACGGGTTATATGAGGAAATCGCTGTTAAAATGCGAAAAAAGATTAAGACATATATATATAATATTGTTTCATTGCTTTAGCAATCTGCACCTCCTTTACACAAGATTCTTTGTACAATGAACGAATGAGCTACGTCTTGGTTGTTTTTTCTCTTCTTTTTTTCAATATTACCTTTGTATTATCGTAGTTTCTATTTTTCAGTTAGTATTGCTTTAATATTATTATGCTGATTTGAGTGATACAGAATAAAGTTTAACCTACTATTTTCCAAGCTATCTTTATCTCTTTAATCATGGTTGATAATGATCTGCCTAAGGTCACTGAAACGTTGACCTTTACTTCATCGGCTGCTCACGCTGCAGAGCATAGGGATCACCGTCCCTTTTCAGATAAATCTAAAAAAAACGCTGACACTCCAACTTTACCTGCTCCCATCGTTCTAGAGGAAAGTGAACCTTCTAGACATCAGCCACACGATCCCATGAGTAATGAGATGTTATCCCAAAATAGCACCCCCCGCATCGATAACGAGGCGCTATCATTACATATGAGGGAAGATTCACAGAACCATAAATCCTCACAATCACCCAAGGCCCCCGGCACCTGCTTTCCCGACGGGAATAATCGCAACCAATATCGAATACTAACCTTACCAGAGGATCTAGACACGTCTTTTCAATCAGGTTATAAAAAGCCTGAAGGGTTTGGTGCCTCTATTGGATACGGAAGCAATACCAACTCAGTAGAAGAACCTATTACTATGGGAGAAGAGTATTGGACGCGAACCGTTCACGACATTCCCTCTCCGAACTACGATAGCATTCACCAACTTCCCATCGCGATGCTAAAATTTTTAGTGGAAGAGATTCAAAATACGCCCCCACTACAAATTGTTTGGACCATTTTGCTCGTAGTTGGTCTACTTGGGGGGAACGTGCTCCAGGTGATTGGGTTGAACTTTTGGTTAACAAAGTTCCCCGCGGATGGGGCACCGGGAAATTATACCATTTTTACTGTCTCCAGTCTTATCTTTGCGTTGTTTTTCTCTGTTGCGCTCGGAATTTATGTTATAATTCATTCGCCTAATTTGTCTTTTGTCTGGAATGTGTATGGCCTCAAGCTACTGGTTCTTGCCGGAGTATTTGATGCGGTGAGCAGCACGTTATCTATTTACTCCGCCTCGCATACACCTGAAATACTTCAGACACTCTTCACCGCCTTTGTTCCCGTTTATACAGCGGTCTTGGCAAAGTGTTTTTTAAACGATGCTCGGCAGTATCTTAACCGCTGGACAATTTTGAGCTTTTCGCTCATTGTTTCGGGGGTAGTCATTGCATCGATCTCTAATTTATGGCCTGCGTATACCAAAGAAAAGAGTAACAACGAGCAGCCCTCCGAGGGCCCCACAAGAGACCAGGCGATCTGGAGCTTCCTTTTCTTCCTGTCCGTCTTTCCCACCGTGTTTATGAATATCACGCAAACGATCTACATGGCGCGCTATACCCAAGAAGAAGTGGAGGTGAATATCATGGGCCGACTGGAAGTCTTCGGCCCGCCCCACGACAGGCTAGGGGACGACGCCAAGCCCGGCGAGGAGGCGGCCACCCCGTCCGTGGCTGGGATGGTCCCCATGGCGGTTTCGGCCACGACCCCCCCCCCTTCCTCCCCTTCTTCTTTACCCCTCCTTCTCCCTCTCCGTGGGGAGGATATCGCGGTGAAGCTGGTGATGCTTACCGTGGACACCACCGTGCAGTTTCTCTTCGCCCTCGCCTTCATGCCGATGGACGCGTTGCCGTGGTTTGGAGGGAGTCGCTCCGTGTCGCAGACCTGGTCGAACTTCCTGGGTGGCCTTCACAGCTTGGTGAGGAGCCCGGGGAATATCGAGTTCTGTGGGGTCTACAGCGCGGGCTTCGTGCTGACCTACCTGACTTCTTCCTACCTCAACCAGCGCAGTGTCACGCTGTGCTCGATGGTGAGCCAGCTGACCTCACCCACCACGGCCATCGTCCTGCTGGTCTTCCCCGGGCTGAACCTCAGTGGGGAGGTGGTGCCCTGGGTGGTGAGCGGGCTTGCGGTGCTGCTGCTCCTGGTGGGGGTCCTTGTGTACGTCGTGTGGGACACAAAGACAAGCACGGTCCGCGCGGAGGTCGGCGATCGCCGGCTGGCGGCGCCTTTGCTCTCACACGCAAACGCCAGCAATAGCACGAACTCCGGATGAATGACAATAGTGTCACCACCCTTTGCCTATCGACTCGCATGGCTATTCTGCGTGTACAACAGGCATTGTGTTGAAATATAATAACAATGATGATAATAACCAGATCAAAAATACTTCGTCAGGAGAAAAAGGGAAAATGAGATGTGCGCGGTTTCCTTTTTTCTTTACGTTTTTCTTTCTATTTTTGCTGTTCCAGGTAATGTATTTTATAAAATTGAGGAGAATAATGTGCTGAATTTTTATTATATATATATAATATACATTTATAATTTCTAAGTATACTGGCCACTACTCAACATAAAAAAAAAACATTTTATAATGGTCTCTTGTATTTAACATCTATGTAAAGTGTACTGGCTTTGAACATCCTCAATACGTGTTTATATTATACTTGTGGAAACCTTCGATCTTTCACAATTATACATCTATCTATACTTAAAAATAAGATAATCACACACATTCTGTCCTCACGAAGTGTCTTTATTCATAATAGAAATTATATAATCCACATATTTTGTTCTTTATTGCTTTCTTTATTTTCTCTTCTACTAGGTATATCTTATGTGAAAATATAGGATATAAATTTAAAGTACATTTGATGACAACTGCTGTTTTTTCCTTAATCGATACATTTTTTATAGGTAAAGCTATCAGTTTACTTATCAATACTTTTTTTTTTGACTATTAAGTGTGGAATAGTGCTTTACACGGAGCCATAATATTCATATACATATAACCATATTATTTGTGTATGAATAGAAATAAAACTGATACATTATTTCACTAAATAATAAGTTTTGATTTTAAAGAGAGCATGCATCTACGTTGGCTAATTTTCTACGTTATAAGATATTAGAAAAAAATAATAATACGCTCAGAGATCAACGAATATACTGAGCGAAGTTTAAGGAGTAGTATAGTTGAATAGTGAACCGCAAGTGGAAGCTCAAGAGTGGGTGATTCTTTCCTATTAACTAATATCTTCGATTTTAACAATGAACTCATTCCACGTAAATGAATTCGGCAATTCAACCTTAAGACATCATGAAGACTCTCCAACTACGTGCAGATTGAACCCGATCTGCGTTGAGATGTCAAATGAACACCCCCAAACGCAAACCGAAAAATATTCTCAGAGATACCAAGGATGTTGCTGTAGAAGCCAATCCAGCGCGGAGATCGCCTCTGCACCTAAGAAAAATGAGGAAGAAAATGTCTCAATGATGTCGTGGAGTTATGCAAAGGAAACTGCTCGACATATTTCGAAGTCGATGAAATTATTTGTAATACAAGTAAAGCGAATGTCAGTAAAACAAATTTTTCTAACGCTCATTTGTATCGTCATGCTTATGCTTGGGAATATAATGCAGATTCTTATGCTCAACTTTTGGCTCGTTAGCTTTCCTTCAAACGAGGCACCTGGAAATTATACTGCGTTTGCGCTGCCCGGTATCTTTTATTCTGTGTTGTTTCTTATGATTTTTATCATATATTATATTATGCGAAAACCAAGTTTGCGCTTTGCAAGGCATCTTTACGGTTGGAAAATCATCATTCTTATGGGTTTTTACGATGCGTTTAACAGCTGGCTTGCTACCTACGCCGCCTCACATACCTCGGAGATGTTGCAATCCCTCTTTCTGAATCTCAGTCCTCTGTATTCGATATTTTTTTCTAAATGGATTCTGCACGATCCTCGACATTATTTTAACATCTGGACGGTGATCATGGCGGTTTTCACCATCGCTGGTATTATTACCGTGGTCTCTTTTAATTTGATGGAGGGCGCAGGCTCCACATCCCACAGGAGGTGGTTCATCCTCATCTTCTTCAGCTCCATCCCCTTTCGAGTTCTCATGAATGTCTATCAGTCGTTGTATATGATTCTTTACACAAGTGACTCGACTTTTATCGAATGGCTTCAGTATCAGTTTCGGATGCGAACAAACAGCAAAGCCATGTTACACCAGCCCCCCCTTCCGGTAGATCAACCCCGGGAGGCAACGGTTACGAGTCCGGTATTGATCCCAGCCAACGCCGAGAATAAAAGCCATCCCACCACTCCTTGCCGTTGTCATAGCTTTACGGAAGGTCCTGACGGCTTCCTTTGGGATGGATTCGATGCGACTGTGGTGAATCACGATGACATCAGTGAACACCAGCGTAATATCGTTTCGATCGCATATCACCAAGGTGATGATACTGCCGTTAAATTGGTCATGTTGGCGGGAGAGACCTTCTTCCAGTTGTGCTTTACTCTTGCTTTTCTGCCGGCGGATGCGATTCCGTGGTACGGCAGCAGCCACACCGTGCATGATACCTGGACAAACTTTCGAAGGGGAATTAATTCCTTCTTCACGATTCCTGAAAATTTTACCTACGGCTCGTTGTACACGCTAGGGTTTGTGTTCAATTATATTGGAGCTGCATATGTAAACCATCACAGCGTAACACTTTGTTCTCTCATCACACAGCTCTCTTCACCGTTGACGGGCTTGTTGTTGGTGATAGTGCCACGTTTGAATGCGCTCGAAGAGGAAGAAAGGTCGTGGGGGGGTAATGTGGCCGCAATCATCATGCTAATCTTGGCATCGCTGGCTTATGTGGTGTGGGAACAGTTAACTCATGATAAGATGGCGGAAGGAGAATGGGTGCTGAAAACGAGGAAACTTCACGTATATAATAATGAAGTAAATGACATATTGGGCAACAGTGTGGATTTGAAACCTTTTGACTAAAGGTGTAGTTAATTGATCGTTACACCCTCGCATAGTGGATGTCTAAATTATGAGTTAATACCAGACAACAAGAACGGGGAAAATACAGAATTCTAGTTATAAACTTTTAGCTTTTAATTATGCATATATGAGTTGAAGTACACTGAATACGCATATCAGTGGAAATTTTATTTCCTTATTATTTTGGGTGAATAGTTCAATCTCTTTCTAATAATTTTCAAGGTAAAATATATATCTATTTATCTATCTATCTATCTGTCAATCAAACATTTTATCTATCTAGCTATTTATCTATTTTTCTATATCTATATGCTATATGCTTGTATTTTCCCACTTTCCCTATATTTTCCGTTAAAAAAATATATATGAATGCATATACACACGCGTCTGAATCTGCCCTTATACCCACAGTTATAGTTTGTACGTTTATAAGTTTGTTTTTCTCAATCCTCAATGTTATTTCTTCAACTTCGTTTTTTTATCCCAATCCTTCTAATAAATAGTTATAGTTCAAATGCATATCACTTTATGCGCCTGTGAACTTTCGAGAAAATAGGTAAAAGGAAAAAGAGGTATCCTGGAGATGCCTCCACCCTTATTCATCAAAGGTAAAGAGATTCGAAGGGCCACGGCAGCTGCGGCGCGGCGGTGGCAGCAGCTTCGTTTTGATGACCTCCGCCATCAACTCGCCTCGACGTGTTCAGGGGAATTGCGCCTGCCTATCCTCTGCTCTGGGGCGACCTCGTTACGACCACAACCAAATCCACCGTCTTCCCCGCATATCTCTATTAGCCTCCGGACGAACAACCCGGAAATGCTCCAGTGGATGGCCCTGGAGCATTTTGGCTTTCTGAACCTTGACGAAAAGGCCCGAGTGAGGGCCACCGAGCCCCCTCACCCGGTCGCCGCCAGCGAGGTGACCCTGCACGTGGGCCCGCCGAAGCCCATCGGGTATCCGGCCGCCCTGGAGGCCGAGACGCTGAACTGGGCGGAAGGGGTCTTCCACAGCGAGGCCCACGCGTACCACCACCTCGACGGCCTCCCGGGGTCGTCGTCGTCGAGGCGGTACCTTCCGCCCGTTCGGTGGTTAAGTCAGCGCCTGCTCGACGGCGCCGTGAGCCGCCGCGTCGACGCGCACTTCGGGGTGACGGACGCTGGGATGCTGGAGA